CCGCGAGGACCCCGGGAGGCTCCCCCATTGGCAGACGCGTGGGAACGCGGGGTCACCTGCGGGACTTCCTCCCGGATGGCGGCGGAGACCGCGGCGGGGAGCAGGAAGCACCCGCGGCTGCAGGGGACGCCAGGTCGGGGGACAAAACCCCGGGGCGGGGCGCGGCCCGGCCGGGCCCGGCTCAGGACAGCTGGGCCCCCAACACTCTTGTTAGAAGGGGCGGGCAAAGACCCCGGACCTTAGTAAGTTAAACATCTAACGCAAGAAGGTACAAAAGGAAGTCAAAAACCAAAGAAAAACAGGACCGCGGACAGGGTACAAAAGAGACTATGAGAAGCCCAGATTAATGGACGAGACCAACGGCCAAAACCGCGAAGGGACACGGCAGTTATTACCCGGAAAGAGAAGACGCAAGTGAACCCCGTTAGGGGGGCGGGAGGGGCAGGGAGCTCGGAGGTGAAATGAGGGGCGAAGGGACACCACGAAGACCCTCGTCACCATTTATTTGAAAACTAGATAGACTGGCCGGTTTCCAGGGGGGAAAGTGACCGACTGGATTGACTCAAACTGAAGTGGAAAACTTGCACGGGTTGATTTCAGTTTAAAGACGTTGAACCAGAGCTTAAATATCTTCCCACCAAAAAAGTAAAAAAATACTGAGGATTTTTTGAGTTACATTCTGAGGCAGGGTCCTCTCTGATGCTAAGACCTTTGTATCAGCAAACGGACCGATGTGGTGCCTCATGAAACAGCTAAAAGCTCGTGGGGAGGAAGCTGGATGAAGCCGGAGGGCGATGTCGGCTCTACCTCAGGAAGGCACGGCCCCAAACCCACAGCGAACGTCGTGACAGTGACGTGTGACATTCTCTGTAGTGTCACAGTAAGGTGGGAATGGCACCGTCCCGGCGTCCCCTTCGCTGTCCCTGATGGGGAGGAAAAATTATCCCCTACCCTTCTAGGTTCTTCTGGCGGCTCAACTCATCAAACAGACACGAGACAGACGGGCAGTGGGGAAACAGGTGAACGTTTACTACCGTGCACACCTCCCGCGGATGGGCCCAGGAACGCTGGCATGGGCCCTGAGCCACTGTCCAAGATGGCGCGGCCCCCGCCCTGACCGCCACCTTCAGCCAAAGACAAAAGATGTGAGGGTGGGGAGCAGTTATGGGGGCAGGGGGGGGGGTCCAGGAAGAGCACAGGAAACGGGCATGCACATTTACGTCTGTGCCTTCTCCTGTGACCGCAGTCTCTGGGGATGGAACCGGCCTGCCCTTCCTGGCACAGGCGGGGAGACACACTTTACAAGTGGCGACTTCCCTCACAAATGTAAATGATCTTTCACAAAGGGACAGCTGCTGCTTAGATTACCCAGGTTCTCACACGTAGGCTGTTTCTTAAAATGAACCAGCCCGAAACAGCCAATGTCCCCCAAACAGGCAGATTTCGGGGTGACAGACTCTCTGCTCCCCTTCATCCAGGTGTCCCGGCCAGAGCTATAGGACAAGAAAAAGAAACTATAAAAAAAAATTAAAAGAATTAGTAGGCAAGGAAAAAATTATGTTTTATTAATCCCTTAAAAAAAAAACAAAACCCAAAAATACAAATATGTGTCTATAAGGGAGCTCAAGAAAATGGGCAATTCTCCTTCATGAGCATTGGGGACACTCAGTACAGGCGCACGAGGGCATAGACCGAAAATGGGAAGAGTTAGGAGATGTTTAAGATGCCGTTTACAGCACAGGGTGATGTGTGAGTGACTCTGACAAGCCGTGCAAGGCCATTGCAGAGAGAAGATGCATGGACTGGAAAGTGTTTTTGTTTTTGTTTTTGTTTTAAAAAGACCTAAATAATGGGAGACTGTCACTAGGTCTCATGAGAGGAAGATGCAGTATCTTAAAAATGTTGATTCTCCCCAAATTAGCCTATGGGTTCAAGGCCACTCGGCCACATTCCAGCAGAGATTCGCGTGCGAATCCGGGCGGATTCTAAAATTCCTCTCGCAGGACAGCACGGCTGGGGCTGGGCTGTTGGCCCCCCGAGGGACACGGCGGAGAGAGTCCCACGGACACCGAGAGACTTGACGGGGGGTGGTGTGGATGGCGCTGGCACAGCTGCCCAGCCGTGGAGAACAGACAGCGAGGCGGCCACCGTTGTGCCGTCCACCCCGAGTCAAGCCCTGCTCACTTCAAGACCGGAGTCTGAAAAAGAAGACCTCAAACTTTCGGGGGAACAACTCTGGGACAGTGCCAGAAGGCCCTGCTAACGGGGACAATCGCTCAGATGAAATCCACGAGTCATCAAACAAGAGACAGATAAAGTCCACAGGACGAGGGCTAAGAACAGAACCTTCTCTGCGTCACGAGACAGCACGAGCCCAGTGAAAACGCGAGCCGCGTCTCGGGAGGGGGCGCGTGGAGATGTCCCCGAGGAGGACTCTGTGCTGGGTGTCCACAGGGACCATTAGGGTCCCGTTTAAGGACAGGCAGGCCACCCGAGCCGCTCACGGGGCAGACGGCCTTCGGGGTCAGCAGATGTAAGACGAGCAGCAGGTGGGACGCTGGACACGGACACCACGAGACAGCCGCCCGTCCACACGAACCGATGGAGGAACGCAGGTGGCAGGGAGGAACGCAGGTGGCAGGCAGGGCCGGGGCGGCTGTCGTCACAGAAGGGGGCTCGCTGAACCAGGTCTGGAAGCGGAGACCCCGGGCGGCCAGGGGCACGGGCCGGCTGTGTGTGGTCGGCGTGGGCTGGCCCGCCGGTTCTCCCGCCGGGCACCCCGACCACCGGCAACCCCCGAAGCCTGAGCACGGCCCCGAACCGCCCTCTGTGGAGCCGTGAGTGGGGCCTGCACACGTAAAAGGCCAGCGGCTCCAGGTCACTGAGGCCCGGGCGCCGAGACACAGCGCTGGGGACGCTGAGGCAGCTGCGTAGGGGACACCACGGCATGCGACCCCTTGCACACGCTCTTCTCAACACGCCCGTGAATTACACACGCCTGGACGTGAGGGGCACACACTTCAGATGAGGGATCCCCGGGAGGGACGGAGCCCACGGCCAGGGGGGCGCCCCGAACGCAGAAACGGCGGCCAGGGGGTCGCCCCGAACGCAGAAACGGGTTCCTCCCATCTTGTTTCTCGAGCCCGGGGGCGGGCGGGTGAGTGAGGCCTCTTCCTATGTTTTACTCTTGCCCTCTGCTCTCCCTTAAACAATCCACGGCCATAAAACGCCGGGGAAGGACGTTTGCTGAGAACAGATTCTTATTTCTGAGGCCCAAACAAAACAAAACCTCGAGGAAGGACAGAAGACGACGAACAAGCACTTCCTTCATCTGCCCGTGTGACGGCCACAGCGAAGGGGCTGCTGTCGCCATTACCGCCCGGCCCGGGCCTGGAGGCTGCAGACAATGCAGGAGACGCAGAACGGAAGCGAGCTGAATAACTCGGGGAAGGGGGGGACCCCAGCGGCCTTCCTCGGGGCCCCAGAGAGCGGGCGGAAGGGAAGGGCTTTCAGAATGATGAGAGGGTTTAGGAAGGCCGCCAGATGCAAAACACATATTTCAAATCAATATTGCTTACTATTTTCCAGCAACGGCCGGTGAGAAGATAAAGTAGAATAAAAAACATTCCTTTCTCAAACAAAAGACGACACGAAGCCAAGAGCATAAGACACTTGGCAACGGCCCCTCAGGCACGCTCAGGGTCTGCAGGAAGAAAATGGAAAACTTTAATGAGAAATACATAAAGAAAATTTGAAAAGAGAGGGGGCAGAGAGAAATCGCATCACACGCTGGCCAGGAGGTTTATAAGAGTCAGCTCTTTCCAAGTGAACTTGCAGGCGTGCCAGATTTTCAACCAAAATTCTAACAGGATTTATTTGAGGGTGAGGGGTACGCTGGGGGTGGGCCAGGGGTGGGGAGGCTGTTGGCGAGATGAATATCGAATTCATATGGAAGAGAAGACAGGCAGGAAAAGCTCAGAAGTTTTTGAAAATTAAGAGCAGGCTTCGGAGGCGAAGGTAACGTGGCTGGTGAGCCCTGCTGGGCGGCCACCCCTGCCCGCCCCAGAGCCCTCGCGGCGGCCGGGGGGTCAGCGCCTGCCCTCCACCACCGTCCAAAGCCCAGAGCGGCCTGCGTGGCGTCCCAAGGTCACACGGCCACTGACCGCTTCATGCCCCCCACGGCAGCTGCCAGCGTGATTCCGTGCGCACACACGAGCGGGGGGCCTCGCCCTCAGGACGGGAGGGGGTGCTGGGGTGGCCGAGAAAGGAGGTCGAGGAAGTCAGGGACGAAAGAGAGGCATCCCGTGACAGCGTCCCACCACACCGAATCCGAAAGCACGTGTCCGGGAAACTGGGAGAGCTCAGAGTGAGGAAAAGAAGCTGCTCGAAGTAAAACCAGAGGGAGAAGCAGGTCCGTGTCGCGCCGCTTCCGTGCCGGGGAACGAGGTCCGGGCCCGCCAGCCATGCGGGCACCGCGGAGGCAAAGGCTGAGCCCGGCCAAGGTCACTGCTCAAAACTGCTAGGTTTGTGGCTCGTCACATGTAGTCAGGACGGGAGAACAGGAACCACGCTTGTCCTCCTGCTTGAAAGAGCCCCACACCGACGACGACGGAGGTAAACGGTCGAAGCACACAAAGCAACGTGTTTTTCGAGGCCGTGGACATCAGGCAGTGACCGACCGGGTCCCCGGGGAGAGGGGAAAGGGTCAGGCTGAGCCCTGCAACTGCCCAGCTGGCCTCCCTGAGCGTTTCCAGGCCTCGCTGTGGGAAGGGGGAATTTCCGGGGGAGCCCAGCTGGATCCCCGAGTTGATGAGAGAGAGCTGAGGGTCTGGGGGCACCACGGACACTGACGGGACCGAGTCTCGGAGAGGGCAGAGCGTACGGGAGAGGCCCCGGGGGGCCTGCAGCGGCGCCCCGCCATACCCAGCACGTGTGGGGTGGGGGGCCGCCCAAGGCTGGGGAGGGGAGCGCTCGGCCAGACTGCAGGGGCCAGTGCCTGCAGCCCACACGGGGCTGGGGAGGGGTCTCGGGGCTGCCACAAGAAAGACCTTCTAAATCTAAAGACACAGATAACACGAAACGTACACGAAGCAGAACGTGTCGGGAACGAAAGGGGCAGCAGACACGCACACGGTCACAGCCGGGTCTCTGTGACCCTCTCGACAGTTAGCCAGACGAGCAGGCAGAGACCCCCCGAGAGCGCGGGGGGCCCCAGCAGCGCCAGCCAGCTCACTCGACTGGCGCTCATGGAACACTCCGCTCAAACACACATTCCTTCCGAGTGTGCATGGGACACTTACCAACTCAGACCACGTTCTGGGCCATAAAACAAGACTTAATAAGTTGAGAAGGATTCAAGTCACACAAATTATGTTCTTTGACCATAAGGAATTAAATTATAAATCAATAACAGAGAGAGCCTTGGAAACGCCTCAAATATTTGGAATCTAAATAACACACTTCTAAATAACCCATGAGTCAAAGGGAAATCAAAGGAAACTAGAAAGCGTTCCCCACAGAAAGAACATGGAAAAACACACACAGAGAGCAGTGCGGGGGACACCACGATGGCAGAAGGGGCGCCGCCAGGCGCCCGCATCCTCGAGTGAGAAGGGGCCGGTGACTCCCGCCCGCACCTGGACGCGACTCGGAAAAGAAAAGCAGATTCGCCCCGAAGTACGCACGAGGAGAGACAGGGCGGATCCATCTGGTCGATGAAGCGGGCAACGTAAAAACAAGAGGGGAACCCCAAAATCGAACCTCGACTCGGTTCCCTGAAAACATCCACGGACACGATAAACCTCTAAGCCAGCGCCGGGAGGGAGGGCGAGGGCACGCGGCGCGCCGCACGGCCGTCGAAAGAATGGCAAGGGGACGTTCTGAGCCGCCGTGCGCCACGACACGCGCCACGTTTCTTGAAAAACACGAAAGACCAACGAGCTCACTCAGAGGACGCGGTGGCCGGGGGAGGCCTCCTCCATCCACCGAAGAACCGACCGTGGCGTTGACAATGTCCTGCAAAGAATACTCTGGTGGACTAACAGCGATCGCACGCAAATTCCCCAAAGCCCCCGACTCGTGCTGTGAGGCCAGTGTGGCCCGGACACCAGAACCAGACAGAGGGCCGCAGACGGGGACCCCGCGACACGGCGGCGAGCACCGGAACGGCAGGTCAGCAGCA